GAGTTAGAAAATAAAACTCACATGCTACCTAAACCATAAACGGTAAAAAAAAACACCAACACTCAAGGAAAATACCAACATTTCAATCTCTCATCAAGAATATCAAAACTTCCAATTCTCAAGATACAACCTCCTTGGATTCAATCGCTAAAACTATAGATTCCAGAAACTCCATCAACCATAAACTCTCAATACACTCAACAAATCAATGTCCCACCCACATCCAAGATTCTAATAGTTTCTAGTTGGTTAGCAAGGCTTCGTCCACTACTGGTACATACGGTTGCAACACAAGTGATACCACTCAACCAATACTTCTTACATAAGTAAGGAGTATAAAAACAAATAAACAAACATGAATACCATCAACTAAGCTATATCATGTCTTTCGGCTAAATTATGAGAAAACAATATACAAGTAAGCACAACACTAACCACGCAAGGGAAACAACATCATCATTATCATTATCCTCATCATAAATCAAAACATTGTAAGAGTACACACAATTAAATAACAACAAATGAAATCAATTGTCATACTAGCATATCAATAAGTTCAACAATCAATTTACTACAACATTCATCTACCAAACAAGCATAGTAGACTCATAACTCATGCCTAGTCAATATTGTATAGCTTGAAGGCTAGGAAAAGAATACTTGTAAAGCCTAGAGAGGCTTGTCAAAGAATACTCACTACGAGCCAGAAGTGGCTGAGTAAAGAATACTAGCGTTGAAAGTATTGTGAGATTCTAGCTATTAGAGTAATTCTCGATCCAAGAATGAAATTTAGAACAATTGAGTTTGCTTATAAAATATTGATGCTCATTGGATGAACCCAATTTTGATCAATTTTTTTTTCTTAAAAAATAAGTTGGATGTGTTGGGTTATAGGAATGATCATTATGACCGTTACCCAATTCTTTCTCAAATGGCTTATGATGTTTTGACCATTCCAATCACTACAATTGTTAGTGAGTCCTTATTTAGCCTTTAATCTCATGGCCTTACCAAGTATTATTTTTTCATTCTTCTTGAAAATTTTGAGTTACTCATTTAAACTCAAAATAGGTTGCATGATTTTGAAGAACTAGGTAATTTTTATTATTTATTACTACTTTATTTTTAATTTTTTTCCACTTAGTCATATATTGTTATATATGTCTTATTTTTATTAGGTATCCTTTTTTTTAAGATGAAAATAAATATGATGTTAAACAACATGAAATTGTTATAGACATATCTACTCAAACTTCCAATGAAGTTTAATATTGATGGAAAACCACTCCAATAATAAGAGTTTTTTTTGTTTTTATTATTTAAAGTTGTACACTTTTTAATTAAGTTTAATATTGTATGTATGATGCTTTGTTTGACAATTTTAATTATAGATTAGAGGTTGTTTTAATTAGTATTTGTCGCGTTCATGGAGTCGCCACCAATATTTTACTCAAAACAATATTCTTTTTTTAAAAAAAAAATAGGTGGGTTGACTCTTTTAGCCCACCAACTCATGGTGAATTAGGCTGGGTCGAGCCAACCCACTTAGAAAATTAGGTGGAATGGGGCAAACGAGTCAAGCTGGTTTATTTTGATAACCTTAATGGATATCAAGAATAGTATGAAGAAGTACTACAAAAATATTTAAATTATGGACATGATTAATCCAAATTGAATGTTTGGTACCCTAAATGCTATTAATTCCTTAAGGTCTCACAAAGTGGGAGTAGACACAATTGAGGTAGCATTCGTGCAAAGGATTTTGGGTGGAATTAACAATCCATCAAAAACCCTTGGCAACTCTCATTATGTTGATTATAAGGGCTTTATAGAAAAAAGAAATTACCAACAAATCCAAGCACACAAAAAAAATTTGTTGGTTGTCGATCAATAAAATATAGGGGGTATTATTAGAGCGAAGCTCCCAACAATGTCAATTATAAATGTCATTCATTGGAATAGTCATGGTATTGGGATGCACGTCTTTAATATTCTGGTTAAAGATAGGTGTTTACATCACAATTCATCTTTTGTATGCATTGCTGAAATGTATGTAAGAAAAGGAAAATCTGAGAAGATTATCTCAACATTTAGCTTTGATGGATTCTTTATTCAAGAATCACAAGGTCAATCCGAGGGCATCTAGTGCATGTGGTTGTCTCAAGTGTGGAATTTTGAAGTCATTCATTCTCACAAGCAAGCCATCCACATGAAAATTTGTTATCTTAATCAAGACCCTTGGTTTTTGATTGTCATTTATGTAAGTCCCTTGCTAGCTCAAAGGACTTATCTATAGAGGCATCTGGTTAATATATCTTTGGATTTGGATAGGCTTGGGGGTGTGATTAGGGACTTTAGTAGTATCCTATTTGACCATGAAAGGCAAGGTCAAATGGCAAAACTAGTTTGAAGATGGTTGATGTGTCTCTTCAACTAGATTCAATGTGCTTTTGATCTTTCTTCTGTGGAATTGAAACCTTCAAAATAAATCTGCAAATGGTGGAGGAGAATGGAAAAGAGGTGCACCATTTAAAGGAAGGTAAGCAAGAATGGTGAAGAATTTTCCACAAGGAGAAATTCCTTGATAAAAGTTCATAAGGAGAATGTTTATCCAAGAGAGAGAACTGGACTTTTAGAAGAGAAAACTCAATGTTATTTTTCATAAAATGCTCAAAAGTGTTGTGTGCATGAAGAAGAAAAGTATATATAGAGTTTGGTTAGCTTATGATGCGAGCTAGACTAACCTTGGTTAAGTGTAACCTAGGTTAGTTAACTTATACTCAAGATAATCAAATTTGGTTACAGGTTTGGTGTGACTAGACAATTCCATGTGGTTTACTAGAGTTTGTTGGAATCTTGAATGGGTGATGGGACGTCTTGTCTACTCCATCAAAGTGACTTCAAACCACTTGCTTTTTACAAGTGGACGACCATCTCTTTGGACGTGGCCATGGACTATTGAAGACTAATAACTTTATATCTCCTTTTCTAGTTACACCCTCCCTAAAATACTAATTACAAGGAAAAATTTATACACTCTTTGACCCAAAAATAAAACGTCAAAAGTACGAAAAATATTTACAAGGAAAATATACAAAAAAAAAAGGACTAAGTAATTAACATATAGCTTAGAGGGGGTTTAGGTCTTTTATCTTCACTACAAGCTCATTCTTCTTGAATCCTCTATAACATTTATTAAGTCAGACAAAGCAATTCCCAGTAAGGTTTTGAGTGAGACAAATATAATACATGTTGTTATCTCTAACAAGCGTGTTAGTGTTTTAGAAGAACATAAGTACAGGTAAAATGAAGAACAAGCATATGCATCAAACGATACAAGACGATAAACGAAAGCTTCAAATAGACAGTCAAAAAAAAGCTTCAAGCACTTGAAGAAAATTGATCAAGAATTAAGACTAAGCATAATCCCAATACAAATGAAAGGCCAACACAAGCATTCAACAAGGCCAAATCAAGAACAAGGAAAAAGTGTGTCAAGCACAACCTAAATCGCAACATAAAGACTCAGACGAAGGTTGGTCAAATATCAGAAGAAAGTCAACAACATATCAAATGAAAGACAACACAAACTGATAAGCATTCTAGAAGAAATTGAAAGTATAACCATATACTAGTTGACTAGATGAAAGGAAAAGTCAATGCGTTAATAACAAATGCTTAGAAAAAGGTCAAGTCTTGAGCTACACATAGACTACCAGACACAAATGAAAGCTATCATGCAATCACGTGAAGAATCAAGCTTTAAAGGGAAATTTGAATATCGTCCACTCTCACAGGAGAACACACGAAGTCATCGAAATTGTGAGAAGAAAAGAAGAAAGGAGAAGATCAAGGGCAAAACTAAAAGCATGCATGTGTTAGAAAAAGTACATTACTTTTTCAGATAAGGACAACACTCCATAGCTACATGACTAGAAAAGGACAAAAAGGTTTCTAGGTCTCTGCTAAATTCAGATACAACGGTTAACAAGGCAAAAAGAATTCATGCAAGGTCTATCACAGGAAACAAAATTTAATGCAAGAATCTGAGCATTAAATGAGAAGATCAAACCAATCATAAACGACTACAACTGCTTCAACGGACACTTGCAACGGGTAGATTTCACAAGACTATATATAGGTCACAACGTCGAACCTGAAAAGGCTGGCTGTTTGGCCCGAAATGGTTCAAGCGAGAAGAATAGTGATATCCAGCCCATGATGCAACGAAACCAGAGATAGAGCGTATAGAGTCAAATGTACCACAATATACTGGTCTCTGTAAATTAAGCAGTTCTAATCATGAATATCTTAGGAACAAAACCTTAGTGAGTGTGCCAATTTATGTATCCTCCTTATGAGAGTAAACGAAACACTCAATTGTTGTAAAAACTAAGGTTATGTAACTTAGTGAGTGTAGAAACCTATGTATCCTCTTTATGAGTGTAACCCATACACTCAAACCAAACTTGCCTAGTCAATATTGTATAGCTTGAAGGCTAGGAAAAGAATACTTGTAAAGCCTAGAGAGGCTTGTCAAAGAATACTCACTACGAGCCAGAAGTGGCTGAGTAAAGAATACTAGCGTTGATGAGTGAAGTCAACGGGCCAAGAGTTGGTCGAGAATACTCATTAAGAGCCAGAAGTGGTTGATCAAAGAATATTAGCGCTAGTGAGTGAAGCTAGCGGACCAGGAGTTGGTCGAGAATACTCATTGAGAGTCAGGAGTGGATGATCAAAAAATACTAGCGCTAGTGAGTGAAGCTAGCGGGCCATGAGTTGGTCGAGAATACTCATTGAGAGACAGATGTGGCTGAACAAAGAATACTAGCGTCAGAAAGTGAAGCAGACGAACCAGGAGTGGTTGAGAATACTCGGGCAACCAGAAGTAGTTTAAGAATACTAGCGTCTGTGAGTGAAGCAGATGAGCCAGAAGTGGTTGAGAATACTTGAGACCAGGAGTGAAAAGAGAAGAGAGGCAGAGTTTAAACCCTAATATACAGAGAAGAGAGGCACGAGGTTTGTCAGAGGCACGATTTTAAACCCTAATATAGAGAGAAAAGAGGCACGACACTTTCAGAAAGCTCAAAATTTGAATTGGAATTTGAGTGAGAAGGTGTTGGTGGAATTGAGAAGTGAAAAGCGAATAGAAATGCGGTGGAGATTGCTCCATGGATGGGAAGCCTAACCCAGATTCCTCCTTCCCGGACTTCCTCTGCCACGTTCAAGCCGCCCTGAAACGACACCGTCCCCTCGGTCCGTAACTCATAACTCCCTTTCACTCCCTCACTCGCAATCCCATCTTCTCATACCTCATTTCTAGGGTTTCTCCTTTTGCAGGTACAACGCACGCTGCTTCCTCAACGAACCAACTCTCTACAACAACCACCACCACCTTCTTCTCACAACCTAGATCCTCACAAGAAAGTCCACTTTTCAACTCCAACCACCACTGCTTTGCACGGTAAAATTTTTCATATTCCGCGTTTCGCCTATTCCCAACACGTCACTCTATGGATATGTTTTTGTTTTCGTCTTTTAAGTTGCAGATGGATTGCCCACTGAGTTGGAGAATTTATCTTCTCATATGAGTTTGCTTGGATTCGCAGAAATGGAGTGGGTTGAAGGCAACCAAGTTGAAGCGTCGTCGTCGATTGGATTCCACCAGCAAGGGAATGTTCACAAGGTAGGGTTTGATGCCAGTTTGAGATTCCTCCCTGGAGATTCTGTTTATGAATTTCTAGCTGAAGGCTAGCAATTTTGATCTTGTAATTACTAATTAGATGTTTGGTTTTGGGACACACAATTGGTCTTTCTTTAAACTCATCATATTTTCCTCATTTTCCTGACCCAAATTATGGTATAATTAGGTTATGTATGGGGAAGACCGTGATGTTTTCTAGCTTCAGCGAGACTTTGGCATTTACATTTGTAACTTATTTGACACTATCATGTTTGTTTAAAAATAGATGACTCAGATTATTGCTCTAATTATAATATTCTTTAATTACTTTCTATCACCCAGGCTAATATATTTTCATTGATTTTATTAGGGTTCAAAGGTGTTAAAACTAGAGAGGAAGAGTTTGGAGTATCTTCTTGGTCATTTTTGTGAGATTACTGCAAACAAAGAGTATGTTGTCTTTATTTTTTTTACTTAAACTTTTGGATATTTGGTTGTCTTACCAATCTCTAATCTCCTATATATGTCTTACCATTGTCTCTATCTTGTTTTTTTTTTAGTTTTTTAAATACTTCAATTTTATAAGTTTTACAAATTACAAGTGACCTCCTTGCAGATACCAGATTTGTTTAAATATAGTTTTAATAGACGATAAGCATTGGACGAAGTTTTCAATATTTAAGATCAATCAAATAAAGTGCGTCTAAAGCTTTTTAAATCGTAGAACAAATTTTTATACTGGTTCACTCAAGTTGAGCTACGTCCAGTCTCCTTCAATTGAAGGGTTCCACTAGATAATCAATTAAGTGCAAGTATTGTTTATTCAGCCTCTTCAGGCTAGTAGTGAGTATTATAAACCACCAGGTCACGACCACTCCTGGTCTCAAGTATTCTCAACCACTTCTGGCTCATCTGCTTCACTCACAGACGCTAGTATTCTTAAACTACTTCTGGTTGCCCGAGTATTCTCAACCACTCCTGGTTCGTCTGCTTCACTTTCTGACGCTAGTATTCTTTGTTCAGCCACATCTGTCTCTCAATGAGTATTCTCGACCAACTCATGGCCCGCTAGCTTCACTCACTAGCGCTAGTATTTTTTGATCATCCACTCCTGACTCTCAATGAGTATTCTCGACCAACTCCTGGTCCGCTAGCTTCACTCACTAGCGCTAATATTCTTTGATCAACCACTTCTGGCTCTTAATGAGTATTCTCGACCAACTCTTGGCCCGTTGACTTCACTCATCAACGCTAGTATTCTTTACTCAGCCACTTCTGGCTCGTAGTGAGTATTCTTTGACAAGCCTCTCTAGGCTTTACAAGTATTCTTTTCCTAGCCTTCAAGCTATACAATATTGACTAGGCAAGTTTGGTTTGAGTGTATGGGTTACACTCATAAAGAGGATACATAGGTTTCTACACTCACTAAGTTACATAACCTTAGTTTTTACAACAATTGAGTGTTTCGTTTACTCTCATAAGGAGGATACATAAATTGGCACACTCACTAAGGTTTTGTTCCTAAGATATTCATGATTAGAACTCCTTAATTTACAGAGACCAGTATATTGTGGTACATTTGACTCTATACGCTCTATCTCTGGTTTCGTTGCATCATGGGCTGGATATCACTATTCTTCTCGCTTGAACCATTTCGGGCCAAACAGCCAGCCTTTTCAGGTTCGACGTTGTGACCTATATATAGTCTTGTGAAATCTACCCGTTGCAAGTGTCCGTTGAAGCAGTTGTAGTCGTTTATGATTGGTTTGATCTTCTCATTTAATGCTCAGATTCTTGCATTAAATTTTGTTTCCTGTGATAGACCTTGCATGAATTCTTTTTGCCTTGTTAACCGTTGTATCTGAATTTAGCAGAGACCTAGAAACCTTTTTGTCCTTTTCTAGTCATGTAGCTATGGAGTGTTGTCCTTATCTGAAAAAGTAATGTACTTTTTCTAACACATGCATGCTTTTAGTTTTGCCCTTGATCTTCTCCTTTCTTCTTTTCTTCTCACAATTTCGATGACTTCGTGTGTTCTCCTGTGAGAGTGGACGATATTCAAATTTCCCTTTAAAGCTTGATTCTTCACGTGATTGCATGATAGCTTTCATTTGTGTCTGGTAGTCTATGTGTAGCTCAAGACTTGACCTTTTTCTAAGCATTTGTTATTAACGCATTGACTTTTCCTTTCATCTAGTCAACTAGTATATGGTTATACTTTCAATTTCTTCTAGAATGCTTATCAGTTTGTGTTGTCTTTCATTTGATATGTTGTTGACTTTCTTCTGATATTTGACCAACCTTCGTCTGAGTCTTTATGTTGCGATTTAGGTTGTGCTTGACACACTTTTTCCTTGTTCTTGATTTGGCCTTGTTGAATGCTTGTGTTGGCCTTTCATTTGTATTGGGATTATGCTTAGTCTTAATTCTTGATCAATTTTCTTCAAGTGCTTGAAGCTTTTTTTTGACTGTCTATTTGAAGCTTTCGTTTATCGTCTTGTATCGTTTGATGCATATGCTTGTTCTTCATTTTACCTGTACTTATGTTCTTCTAAAACACTAACACGCTTGTTAGAGATAACAACATGTATTATATTTGTCTCACTCAAAACCTTACTGGGAATTGCTTTGTCTGACTTAATAAATGTTATAGAGGATTCAAGAAGAATGAGCTTGTAGTGAAGATAAAAGACCTAAACCCCCTCTAAGCTATATGTTAATTACTTAGTCCTTTTTTTTTTGTATATTTTCCTTGTAAATATTTTTCGTACTTTTGACGTTTTATTTTTGGGTCAAAGAGTGTATAAATTTTTCCTTGTAATTAGTATTTTAGGGAGGGTGTAACTAGAAAAGGAGATATAAAGTTATTAGTCTTCAATAGTCCATGGCCACGTCCAAAGAGATGGTCGTCCACTTGTAAAAAGCAAGTGGTTTGAAGTCACTTTGATGGAGTAGACAAGACGTCCCATCACCCATTCAAGATTCCAACAAACTCTAGTAAACCACATGGAATTGTCTAGTCACACCAAACCTGTAACCAAATTTGATTATCTTGAGTATAAGTTAACTAACCTAGGTTACACTTAACCAAGGTTAGTCTAGCTCGCATCATAAGCTAACCAAACTCTATATATACTTTTCTTCTTCATGCACACAACACTTTTGAGCATTTTATGAAAAATAACATTGAGTTTTCTCTTCTAAAAGTCCAGTTCTCTCTCTTGGATAAACATTCTCCTTATGAACTTTTATCAAGGAATTTCTCCTTGTGGAAAATTCTTCACCATTCTTGCTTACCTTCCTTTAAATGGTGCACCTCTTTTCCATTCTCCTCCACCATTTGCAGATTTATTTTGAAGGTTTCAATTCCACAGAAGAAAGATCAAAAGCACATTGAATCTAGTTGAAGAGACACATCAACCATCTTCAAACTAGTTTTGCCATTTGACCTTGCCTTTCATGGTCAAATAGGATACTACTAAAGTCCCTAATCACACCCCCAAGCCTATCCAAATCCAAAGATATATTAACCAGATGCCTCTATAGATAAGTCCTTTGAGCTAGCAAGGGACTTACATAAATGACAATCAAAAACCAAGGGTCTTGATTAAGATAACAAATTTTCATGTGGATGGCTTGCTTGTGAGAATGAATGACTTCAAAATTCCACACTTGAGACAACCACATGCACTAGATGCCCTCGGATTGACCTTGTGATTCTTGAATAAAGAATCCATCAAAGCTAAATGTTGAGATAATCTTCTCAGATTTTCCTTTTCTTACATACATTTCAGCAATGCATACAAAAGATGAATTGTGATGTAAACACCTATCTTTAACCAGAATATTAAAGACGTGCATCCCAATACCATGACTATTCCAATGAATGACATTTATAATTGACATTGTTGGGAGCTTCGCTCTAATAATACCCCCTATATTTTATTGATCGACAACCAACAAATTTTTTTTGTGTGCTTGGATTTGTTGGTAATTTCTTTTTTCTATAAAGCCCTTATAATCAACATAATGAGAGTTGCCAAGGGTTTTTGATGGATTGTTAATTCCACCCAAAATCCTTTGCACGAATGCTACCTCAATTGTGTCTACTCCCACTTTGTGAGACCTTAAGGAATTAATAGCATTTAGGGTACCAAACATTCAATTTGGATTAATCATGTCCATAATTTAAATATTTTTGTAGTACTTCTTCATACTATTCTTGATATCCATTAATAAAAAGTATTTTCTCTAAGTAGACGATAAAATTCCCAGATGCAAATGATTTTGCTAAACCAATCCTTGGTAGTTTCTGTTTACCCTTGACCAACACCATTTGACTGGACGAAAGAGAGCCTTATTTTTTTCTAGTAGTGATATAAATAATCTCTCTTTTCCTCCGTACCTGGATAAACAGCAGTTGAACTAAAACAGAGATCTCTTGGTCTCCTCCTCTAAATGCCTCTTGGTCTTCAGAGAGAAGAAGAGGGAAAGAAGAAAGAACAGAAGAGAATAGGAAGATAGAATGAGAGATGTGAGAAGATGAGAGGTAAGGCCTCCTATTTATAGGAATCTGCCTCACTTAACCCGGAACGACCTGTTCCAAAAGTGGAATGGCCGTTCTGGACCTTCCAGAACTACGTAAAAATCTCAACTAGAACGGCCCGTTCCAAAACCGGAACGGCCTGCTCTCAATCCCAGCAGAATGGCCCGTTCTCCAACCGGAACGGCCCGTTCTCCAACCGGAACGGCCCGTTCTCAACTACGTTTTTAGGCAATTTCTTTATTCTGGAACGGCCCATTCCACTTTAAAAACGGCCCGTTCTGGGCAATGAATTGGGCCCACAGCCCAGTCAAAATTGGGCTGTTACAGAGGGTCTCATTCAATGATGAGGAGTTTACACAGCAAGAATGACGCAATGGTTGGCACATTGAGCAGCTTGTTCATCCATGGATCCATGGATGATGGTTGAGCAAGGTTAAATAGTTGGCTCAGGCTCGCTTAGTGAGGGGAGACTCATTTAGAAAAAGTTGCATGTTATAGGGTTTTTACTCAACAAGAAAGGCCTCACTTAACAAAACCCCTATTTTGCTAGAAAGTGAATATGATGTTGTGTGGTGTTCTCTAAAGCTTTACAGTCCAAGTTAATAAGATTTAAATTGTTTATGTTGATGATAATGATGTGTGTATATATATATATATGTATATATTTATGTATGTATAAATGCATGTATTTTGTTAGGTATCTTATTGTGGGCATGAGCCTATTGTGGTTGTAGTTGATTTATGTGTGCTTAAGCATGTGGTTGAGAGTGAATGTAGGGAAGGCTTGAGCCCCTAATTCATGGAGTTGAGAGTGAATGTTAGAAAGGCCAGATCCTTTTTATCCATGTTGTTTTTGAAAAGTCTTTTAGGCAACTTAAATGAGAATGATTTATTGAGTGTTTTGTGTTGT